ATTTGAACAGTGTAATAGAGTATTAACAGTGATGGTATAGATATATTTAAACAACACAGTATTTAAACATGAATTGCAGCCATGTCAAGAACAATATTCATGGGATAATTTTATATAAACAGGACTGCAAGGTTTAAATAAAGGTCCACCCAGCTAAAGTTGTGCATTCCAATCCCAGGCATATATAATTCGAAGTAAATCTAATTTCAGCTTAATACAACATACCCCCTAGTAAGTATGCTTAGGTCTGAACTGTTGATTAAGTGATGGGGACATTTTTCATCAGAAAGGGATGAGAAAGGTGCATTTATTTATTCCTTCAGGCTGTGTTGGTCCTGATATGTTACCGAATGGGGGAAAATAAGATTGCCTTTTCTTCTCACAGGGATACTCAGAGTTCAATAAACAGAAGCTAACTTGCATTTCCTTCACTGTTGCAAAATGGCATCAGTATTGAGCTGCTTTGTGGTCTCTGTGCATTACACCTATGGGCTCTGTGACTGCGAGGAGCCTATTTCAGGAAGACCTGTGACTAAGATGCTTTTGGTGGGAACCCATCCCTCAGCTCCACCCCAGCATTTGGGAGGAGTTCCCACATCTCAGTCAATCCTCTTCATTAGGGCCTACTTAGACTTCACCTTGTATGTACCTAACTCCAGAGTGTCCATACCAGTGATGTGTTCAAATCCTTTACTCCAAGTCTTAAGTCAAGTCTCCAAGTTGAGTCTCAGATCACTGCAAGACATTTTTGAGTCAAGTCCTTTCTCTACTCTCAAGAGCCAACTTAACAGAAAAAGGGGGGTGACACAGTGTGGAGGGTGGAAGAATTTTAATGCCTCCCCCCAATGTTCCCACCAGCACTTTCACCGATGTGTTGAAGTCCTTTACTTCAGCCATGATTTATTTAAACAAAGCTGTGCTATTATTTGAATTTATCAAGATTGCAATTTAGAAAAACAATGTTCTTGACACGATTGGCCCCCCTCCTGGCACTGCTATTCTCCCTGGAAGTATGTGGGAACAGAGCAGAGGCAGCAGGCAGGAGAAGTGCTGTTGTGCTTCCTGCTGAGGAGAGCAAAGTGCACCAAAAAGAGCTGAAGCTTTCCCCCTATACAGATAGTCCCCAGGGTTATGGATGAGTTCCGTTCTTGAGAATGTCCTCAAGTTGCATTTGTATGCAAGTCAGATCACATGAGTAAGTCAAATGTTTGTCTTAGTATATGTGTATATTTTACCTCTCTGTGCATATAAAACACTTAAGAAACACTTCCATATTCTCTAAAATTTCTTAAACAAAATGCAGCATTGTAATAATGATAATACAGTAATAATAAAGTAACTATAGGTACTGAAGAGAGAGAGAGAATCTGTATGGATGTGTGTAGATATACAGTATTGTAAAAACAAATGACAAAAATAGTTCTTAAACAGTTCAGGGCATTCTTTCAAATCAGTGTCTTATAGAGTTAAGCTAGCTCACAATCATTCTTGCATAGATTATTACAAGATCATGAATATGAAGCATTTTGAGCCCTTTAAAGTACTTTATGTTGTTTGTTCTTTTTATTTGTTCATTTTCTGAATATATTTTTGAGTTGCTATGCTAATTACAATAAACCATAAGAAGAATAAAATGCTACAGTTCCAAACAAAACCAAACCTCAAACAAAGCAGAGAAAATAGTAATGGGCCTGCTAATACTGATCTAGTTACCCTTTAGCATTTGCCCTTATAACCAGATCCTCAGCTGCTACAAGGCCATTTATGATGCGAAAAAGAAAAAGATTTTTCAATAATTCCTTGAGGCCTACTTCAAGAAAACAGCTCCAGTGGTAACCCCTCTCTCCTCTCCAGCAGAACTATCAAGCCCTGACTCTCCAGCTCCAGGACCATCTTCATCATCATTAGTTAATGTTTTAATGTTAGATAATGGATTAGGAAGTTAGGCATTAAAACAGGATTTCAAGCTTTAAAAATAGCACAGAGAAGTAGGGAGAAGTCATCTGGGCACCTCTGCTTCTGCTTTTCCCAGAAACTGTTTTGCTGTGGTTCTGCTTCATCCTTGAAGCCCTTGCATGTGACCTGAAACACACTGGTTTGGGTACACTTGAGCTGACACTGTGAAATAAAAAGCTTTGAATAGAGAATCTATCTCTAGGGATCTGTGCACCCACTGATGACATGTTGCCAAATGCA